CTTTCAGTAAATTCAAATTTCTTGTCTTTTTCTAAAAGTTGGCATGGACGTTTGGTAATTTCTGAAAAATCTTTAATAAAATGCCTGTAAAATTCAACATGTCCAAGAAAACTCCTAACCTCTCTTACATTAGTAGGAGGTTTTAGTTTAGATATAACTTGATTTTTTACAAGTTCTGCTTCCATACCATCTTCCGAAATTTTATGCCCCAACACAATTCCTCCTGCAACCATAAATTGACATTTCTCCCAATTCAGAACCAAATTAGTTTTTTCGCATAACTCTAAAACTTTTTCAAGGTAATTTAAGCATGCATCAAATGATGTTCCAAATACAGAGAAATCATCCATAAATACTTTAAATCCATCATCAATTAACTTACTAAATATGGACATCACACATCTATGGAATGTTGCAGGTGCATTACATAATTGAAAAGGCATTCTTCGAAAAGCAAAAATTCCAAAAGGACTAGTAAATGTTGTTTTTTCTTGATCCTCAGGAGCAATAGGAATTTGATGGTAACTGGTATATCCATCTAAAAAACAAAAATATTTATGCCCAGCAAGTCTATTTACTATCTGATCTAAAAAGGGTAAAGGGAAGTGATCTTCCTGGTGGCAGTGTTTAATTTTCTATAATCAATGCAAATACGCCACCCAATAACTTGTCTGATAGGTATTAATTCATTATTTTATTTTATTTCAACAGTCACTCCTCCTTTCTTAGGAACACAATGAATTGGACTTACCCACACACTATCTGAAATAGGATATATAATTCCAGTGTCTAACCATTTCAAAATTTCCTTCTTAACTACTTCTTTCATCATCGGATTTAATCTCCTTTGTGGATCAACTCTTGGTTTATATTGTTCATCTAATATAATTCGATGCATACAGATTGAAGGACTGATTCCCTTAATATCAGTTAAGGTCCAACCAAAAACTTTCTTATATCTTTTCAATGTATCTAGCAGTCTTTGTTCTTGCAAATCATGTAATTCTGAAGATATAATAACAGGTAATGTAGATGAGTCTCCTGAAAATACATACTTCAAGTGCCGAGACAGTATTTTTAACTCGAGTTCAGGTGGTTTTATAATTGACGGAAATAGATTTTTATCGACATTTTCCATAATATAACATCTCAAATCTTTCCTGAACATAATCTATTTCTTCATTTTCTAATTCGTCTAGATTAATTTCGTCACTCTCTTCAAATCGTTCTTTCTCTTCGAAATGTTTTTTAAAATGTTCTTCTTCTTCAAAATGCTTTTTATCTTCAAAATGTTCTTTAAAATGTTCGTTCAGTAGATGTTCAATAATTTCCATGCGAAAACATTCATTATCTCTTTCAAAAGCAGGGTATTTCATAGTATTTCTTTATCCTCCATATCTAAAACAATGAAATCCAAAGGAAAGATAAATTTATCCACTTTTACTAACACATCTTCTATAACTCCCTTAAGATATATAACTGAACGATCCGCTAATTGTAGAGTTACAGAAGTTGGCGTCTTTTGACAATTGATAGATGCATAAGATTAATGCTGGCTCCCAAATCACATAAAGCTCTTCCATAAAATTTTTCACCAATAACACATGGTATAGTAAAACTGTCGGGATCTTTTAGTTTTTCAGGAAGCTTTTTCTGAATAATTGTACTACACTTTTCACTAAGTGCAACAGTTTCATTATCTGTGAACTTCCTTTTCTTTTTCAGAATATCTTTCATATATTTCACATAATTGGGCATTTGCTCTAAAGCTTCTATGAAAGGAATATTCACTGTTAACTTCTTAAGAATTTCTAAAAATTTGGAAAATTGTTTAGTCTGTTTGTGTTGTTTCAATCTTTAAGGAAACGATGGTGGAGGTTTTTCCACAGTAATTTTCATTGGTGTAAATGGATACTCTAAATCTTGGTATTCATGATCCTTCTCTTTTTTGGTATCCACTTTCTCTTTTTCAGTTTCTGTTTATTTTTGCACCCTTGTTTCCAATTCTTTTTCACTCCGTAATTGTATCGCTTTGATTTGTTCTTTTCCTTTATCTTTAGGATTTGGTTCCACAGTACTAAAAAAAGTTCCTCATGTTTGGTTACTAAGCGTAGTAGCGATATGTCCCAATTGGTTTTCAATAGTATTAATAGCAGTTCCTTGATTTTGTAATTAATTTCCTTGAATTTATAATTGATTTCCTTGATTCTACAATTTTTGACCCATGTTTAATATCAGTTCTTCCATAAACAACTTCTCCTTAATTTGAGTGTTACTGTTAAATCCTAGAGGATAAGAAGGTCTGTAGTTAACATTTCCTTGGTTTGATGAATTTTCTAATGGGTTCACTGGGTTGTTTGCCCATTGTTGATTTGTAGAAGAATTGTTATTCCAGTTAAAATTTGGGTGATTCTTCCAACCTGGGTTATAATAGTT